CACAGTAAAAATAAACATTTTAAAGTTGTCATTTTTAATCATTATAGATGTACAGTTCCACAACGTTGGATGAAGTCCCATGTCTCTGTGGTTTCAAAATATTGCCTTATGTCTTATGCCTAATAAAGCCCTCTCACCCTTCCCTGGGCCCGTCCCTTGTCCGTGTCACCTCTAACCGTCCTTTGAAGGTTTACCTGTTCTGGTTCCTCATATTAAGAGCAGTCAGACAGTGTCCTTGTGTATCCAGGTTATCTCGACTGTGCAGTAGTCTCCGGGCTCACACGTTATGACTTGTGTCTGAACTTCATTCCTTTTCATGGCTGCAGGTTACTCCGTAGCATGTAGAAAGTATGTTCTATTTACACACACACACACACACACACACACACACACACACACACAGCTTCCTGTCTTTTCATTGTCCCCTGCCCCTCATTCATGCAAATTCCCCCAACCATATAGCACACCACCGGTTCTGGAGCAGATACGTGCGTCAGTACAGTGCCCTTGCCCACAGCTCAGATGCCGCCTGTGGCCCTGCTCCGCAGTGACAACCCTGTTTCCGTGCCACCTGGAAGCTCTGCGTACCACTGAGTGCAGCGCCCACCTCCACATCCATGCCTTAGCTCATGCTGTTTCCTCCATCTAAAATGCTCTCATTTCCTCAGAGCAAACTCTCCAGAGCCAGCTTGTTTCCCTTGCTGTCTAAAGCCATCTGCTGTCCTCGGGGCAAAGAGACCCTCTCTCTTCTACAATTCCAGAGGACTCTGCATGAGGGGACCTGGTCATACCCTGCTTTTGTCTTTTCTCTCTCCTCCAAAGGCTGAGTTTCTATCAGAGCTCCCTTCTCAGTGGATGCACAGAGTACTGTGTTAAGCAGAGTACTGAGTAGAGTACTCAGCACAGCACTGAGCCTAGTGCTGCGCTTCCATACAGGGAGGAAGCACCAGTCAATATTTGTCCTATTGATTTAGTATATGTCGAAAGGACAAGGAAGATGAATTTTCCCAGAGGCCTGGTAGTCTGGTCGGGAGGCTGTTCAAAAAGACATTCACATTTTGCATGGAATAAGGCATCTGTTATTTCAGACAAAATGTAGTGCCTGCAGAAGTAGTACTGGTCATATGCAAGGAAATTTCTAGAATGACAAGCTAGAATGGTGGCATGGGCCGCAGATGTCCAGCACAGCAGATCGCAGGTGCTAAAGTATTCTTGCAGAGAGAGAAAAAACCTCAGCACTCCTGGTCCCTGGCTTAGTTTTCCTGCCTTCATAGTCTTATTATTTCTGGGAAATAGACAGATGTTTGGGAAGGAGACAAGGAGGATACTGGGGACTTAAGAGGAGGTTTCCAGAACCCCCATGGGGTCTCACTGGACAGTGGTGCTGTGCCTGCCCTGGTGGCAGGAAACGGTTACAACATGAGTTATCTCTGGAGTCAAGGCAGATAAAGTCTAGGTTGGAGTGGAGACACTCAGGTGTGCCTGGGGAGCCAAATTCTTGCTCTGACAGGATTATTGTGGGGTCTTGGAGAATTACAGCAGAGAAGTAATGTCTGGGTGATAAGGTTGAGTTGAGGCCTGTGAACTTCCTATGATCCCAGGATGAGGTGCAGATCATTAAAATGATTTCTGAGTTTATAGATAAAGAAGCAGGGATGCCAAGCGCCACTGTCCTGGGTTCCCCACAAGCACACCAACGCAACAGGACAATCCAAGCCCACGCTTCTGGCCTGTTGGGGAAGGATGATGCTGTGAATACAAAGACTGAGCCATGTGTCAACAGCACGTGCCACTGTCCTCATCTCGGAAACAGCTGAAGACTGGGCAGCAGGGTCAGGGTGGGCTTGCTGACTATTGATTGACAGGGACTGTGCCTTTTGGCTGAGATGTGCTGAAGGCTCCTCAGCTTTGGCAGGGGGAGCATTTTTATCAGTGGCATTAGTTAGATTCGAGAGACTGTAGGGACCCTGATAGGATGATGAACCACTCTGTGGCATAAGACATTCAAGCTGATAAGAGTCCCCTGTCCATGAGCACCCCATGAAACACCAGGCATCCTTGTTTTCTGTTCAAAGGACAAAGATGGAGGAATGTCACCACAATCTACCAATGAACTGCAGTCAGGAAGGCTTAAGGGAGACTGGCACAGGAGTTGGCACAGAAATTGCTCCTGTTGCCCAGGCTGGACATGGGCCAGCTGAGCTTGCATTCAGGAAGGGGAATGGCAGGGTTCTGTATACCCCTGTTGCCAGTGAGTCTGATGCGGGTGCTCAGGAGCCTGGACTGACGGATGACTCGTGCTCCAAGGGCAGCAGAGCCGGCGCACCACCACTATCCGGTCTAGCAGAACCCCGTGGGTACTCCTTCTAAGGCCCCAGTTTCCTCCTCACCTCCTTCCCTAACATCTGTCCTTTTCCCAGAAATAGCAAGATATATCAAGGCAGAAAACCCTGCACCCAGGACTCAAGGAGCAAACACTGAACATAAGGAGGCAAGCAGTTCCCAGGCAGCCCTAGAGAGAGGACAGCCAAGTAACCTTGACCCAAGGAGAGGGTTAATCCCCCAGGGTCACAGCCACTGCTAGGCTTCCAGGAATGCCTGGGCTCTGCTCTGGCCCTCTGCCTCTGAGCTGTGGATGCGCAGTCAGAGGTCACCTTAAGCTCAGAGGTAGGCATAGCTCAAGTGTCTTTCCACAGCCACCTCAGGACCTGTTCACTCTCAAGAAAGTGTCCTTTTGAAGGGACAGCCTGCAGCACCTGGATGGTCACTTGCCAAACTCCACACAGCCATTCACACCAGCAAAGGGTCTCTGTCTGCTGCCCACATATGACTCTTCAGATGGCAGCTCCAAAGACACCAAGGAGAAAAACTCCCTTCCCAATGAGCTCGGCAGCCTGATACCAAATGTGTACATTACTAAAGGCTGAGGACAAAGTGGACTTTTTGCTTTGTCCACTCAGCTAGGAATGTTGGGTTTCCCTGATGGACAAGTGGCTGGGATCATTGTTTTGGTCTCACAGAAACCCAAAATTTTAAGCAAGGCAAGTGTAGGTGCCAACACACAGAGACCTTTTGCCGTTTGTCGGTCATTGGCACTATTTAGGACCTGGTAGGTAGTCATCTGTCTTCTCGAGAATATCATCAGGCAAGGCGTAGTCTGTACAAGGTGGAAATGGCATGCAGTCTCTGAATTCCCCAGTGTCCATTCCAGTGTGGCCTTGTAACTAGCTGCTCAGGCCCTCTGGCTCTCAGTTTCCACCTCACATAACTGTCCAGTGAGTAGATGGCCACAAGAGTGTGTATACTTGAGGCACTAGCACCAGAGTGAAGGCTGAGCCACCATCTCTACCTACAGGTTTATTGTTGTTGTTGTTATTATTAAGCACTATCTGAACGCCACCATCAAGCAACTTGCTTTCTAGACGAACTCACATATGACTCTTCTTGGCTATTTCCAGCAGCTGGCCCTGCCCTTTGCCAGCTAAGTGTTTACTGAGGTGTTTCTTCTGCCTCTGCCTGGGAGTGCAGGTGAATCAAAAAAGTTTAAGCACCCTCTGATGGTTAAGCTGTGGGGTCTTACTCACCTAAGATGTCCACTTGCCTTTGTTAACATGCTAATTAAGGTCCTGGGGGCCTTCCTATTTGAGACTATTAACTTGGGCTCCACTCTCCACCGGGGCTTTGCAATTTCTATTGGGCATTGAAGGCATTTGTTCCCCAAGAGCCAGCATAGCTTCTGGTGGTTTTGTTCTGTCTGTCCTCCCAGAACACAGTAAGATTTTTTTTAATGAAATTATTTCATCTTAGAAATGTCTCTTTGTATTTTCCTGTGTTGTGTGGTATGTGTGTTTGTCCATGCATATAGAGGCCAGAATCAAGATCAGGTTTCTTCTTCGACTGCTCTTCACCTTATCTTTTGAGGCACAGTCTCTCCCTGAGCCTGGAGCTCTCGGAACAAACCAGTTTGGCTGGCAGTGTGCCCCAGGTCTTGTCTCCACAGGGATCATAGATATGCGCCACAGAATCTGCATTTTCACATAGGTCCTTCGGTCAGAACTCAGGTCCTCATATTTCTGCTGCAACTGAACCATCGCCCCAGCCCCAGAAGCTCCTCGACACCCCCCCCCCAACATGAGCTGATGCTTCTTAACCATCCCGAGGTCTCAGTTTTACCCAACCACAGTCACTATAGCTATAGTCACTTCTAGATGAGAAGACACTGCTTTGTGCCTAGTCTTTCTCAGCTTTTCCTAATTCCTTTCCCTGTGGAACTCTTTCGATTCCTGTTCACCAAAAAGCATCCCTGAGACCCATGGCTGCTTTCCCCAGAAGGAGTTCGGGAACTAGGCTGGGCATAAATCCTTTCTCTACTGCAGCTTCTAGTTGGAGATTCACGCCACCTCTGCTCCCTCAGCAATGGTGGTAGAGCTCTGCGGCCCCTGTCTGTTGCTTCCTGCACTGGCTCTCCTCCTCCTATTACCCTCTCTCCTCTTGAACACAGCTCCTCACCTAAATACACCCCACCCCACCCCACCCCGTCTCTCTCCATTGTGCAGGTTCAAGACATGCCCCTAAGGGAACCGTAGACTCTAAAGTTTGCCAGTATTTCTCAACATTAACCAAGGACGAAGACAGAGAAGCAGGAAAGAAAGCCTCCTTGTAGGTTGCTAACCGCTCGTACACAGGGCACCTCCCTGTCTGGAGCGCCGGCTTCTGTGCTTGCCCGAGCGCAGGACGAACGAGTGACTTCTGCGCCTACTCTGTCTGAACATGGGAAGGCTGAAGTCTGCCGTCAGCAAGGTCCTTGTCCAAGACCCCAGGCACTGCCAGGTCGGGCCTCGGCCAGCAGGACTCAGAGAGCCTACCGGAACCTGCCCCGCCCCCAGTTCCTCTCCTAGACCGACTACACAGTTGCCACAGAAACGGGAAGCGAGTGCCTGCACTGCGCAGGCGTAGAGTCCCCGTTGCTAGGGCCGTCTGGAGCCGCTCTTGGGGGTGAAGTGAGGTTCCAGGCCCGAGGCAGCAAACAGAGCGAGAGAACCCGAGTCTGTGCCTGCGCTCCCGGGAGGGTGACAGCAGGTTCCGAGCCCTTCCCTGCCCCAAGAGAGAGGCTGTCCTCCGTCCCTGTCCCTCCCTCCAGAGGAACCCCCAACCTCTGGGAACCTCTGGGGTTCCCCCGACCTCGGCAGTAGGGCAGCGTTCAGAGGGACAAGGAAAAGTTTCCCAGTGGGTGAAAGAAAGCCGGAAAGGGACCAGCCATGTCGAACGTGTAAGTGGAAGGATACCACACTGCCTTAGCCCGGGGCGCTTCTGCCTCCTCAGAGTGCCTTCTGCCTTTCCCCTCCTCTCTCCCTCCTCACGCCTCCTTTTTCTTTCACCAAGTCCAATATGCCTCAGAATCGATTATCCGTGTCCTGGTGGCAAGGAACACTAGGCAGTTTCTCGCCTCCGCCAGGGGAGGACCTCCAGGCCTCCATCCCATGCCACGGGTGACTGAGGTGGCTTTTCTTTTAGTAACGAAGGTGCTGTTTGTGTGAACCCCAGCCTCTAAACTGCGTTCTAGAAAGATCTGGGGGAAGCGTCGGTGCTCTGCTTCCCAGCCCAGCCCCCAGGCCATTGCTGAATGTGTCCCTGTCACCTTCTGGTGTACTTGGCTCTGTAGTGACTCCATGTTGTGGGTATGTGGTCTGGCTTGGCTGGAGTAAGTTCCGGGTCCCAGCCATGGTCCCAGCCACCCTGTAAAGCTGTAGCTCCGAGGTCTGTTTCCGAATCGCACAAGGCAGGGTAGCAGCTCACAGTGTCCTTATGTGGCAGCTGCACACCATTGCTCCAGCCGAAGCTTCCCAACACGGTCTTCCAGGAAACCTAAGCCTGGAGGTGCCTGGCTTGGGGAGGCGTGGGGTGAGGAATGGGGTGTGGAGAGATGAGGAGAACAGACTGTGGAGTTGGAAGGCAGTCTGTTGAACATCAGGTCTTAGCTTCATGGAGATGAAGTAGGAACTGGATAGTGTAAACACAGGATGGTCTATAGGAGACCTGGAAAAAAGGGTAGGTAAAAGGGCAAGCCCAGGTCAGCAGGGAGAAGAGCTAACACAGCAAAGGAACCAAAGCCCCTCCCTCCATCGGAAATGGCGTGAGCAAGGCTCTATCCAGTGCTGCTGGGGGGAGCCTGTGGGGAGGCAGGAATGGAAGCCAAATTAGCAGCCTAAGGCCTGTGCTCACATTTGACAGAGGAGTGATGGACCCGAAAGATCACTCTGGAGACAGAGGAACCAATGCGGAGAAGCGCTGAGAGTTTCCCACAGTGGAAAGGGATGGGGCAGTCACCCTAGCAGAGGACAGGGGAGACAGAGTCTCAGATGTAAAAACACTTTGCTATGAAAAGAATGCCCAGTGGTGAGGGAATCAGGACAAAACAGGAAGGCAGGAGGAGGCTGGTGCCAAACATCTGGAGGGAAGGCAAAGTAGAGTGCCATTCTGAGAGAAGGGCACTAAGAAAGATAACATGCAAACAGGGGCAAGCAGTGCCAGCCTCTCTGCACGTGGGACTCAGAGCTAGGAGCTGGGAAGAGAGAGGACCCAGAAGCTGTATGCGTAGCCAGGAGGCCCAGAAACAGCACACAGCCAGGACAGAGGGGTTCCCTGTAGAAGGGGGCCATACATTAAAGAGTGTCCCCCACACAGCAACTTATACTCCCAACTCACACACATGAGCCAGGTCTCTGACAGAGCAGGAAGGTGGTGGGAGCGTGCAGGAAGAGGCGACCACAGACCCAGTGGGAAGAGGGAAGGCTTCCCTACTGTCACTGGTGGAAGATAATTCCCATTTACACACTTGGACTTCCCAAGAAAGCTCAGCTCATGGTTACTCCCCAGTGGCCAGTAGCAGGAAGAATCCATCACGCCATAGAATAGCCATGTGGTCTTTCTCAGCCCTCACCCATTGCTACCCTGACTTCAGAATCTGTTATGTTTCTCAGTTACGCACTTACGCCTGAAATCCATCACAAACCACTAGGCAGTCTCAGGACTGAAATACATCGAAGTTCTCCACACCATCATCCCTGTGACCCAGCCCCTCAGAGCCCTCTCAGGGACAGGGAACTGCTCCTAAAGATTCGTGAGCACAGGAAATGGTCTGATCTGCCGGTATCTAGATACCCTGAGAGGAAGGACAGCTTCACTATTACTGCACTCTCCCCTTTGACACCCACCTAGCCACAACCAGAGAAGAAATCCCACATCCACACAAAGAATTATGTGGCTGCTGTAGCAGCCTGCTCAGGACAGGGCAGAAATGCTCCAGGGGTGCCTTGATGGGTGGTGGGTAAGCCACATAAGGATGTACCCGGAACATCACAGGTTCTCTGGCATTAAACCAAAAGAAGTCCTGGTTTTTGCTACAAGAGTGACCTTGCCGCATGGTATGAGCAAAGGAAGCCATTCACAAAGTGACTTAGGACAGACTCCATTTACAGACAGCCCCCAACGTCTGATAGTGTGGCTTACAATCACTCTGCTTCACGGAGATATAAAAGCCTTTGGAATTCAGTAAATGCCATACCTATGAGTTTGGAAAGCGGAACATCTCCCGGGCTAATGATTTATGCCCGGTATTCTAGATGCTCGGCCTGGTAAGCTCTGATAAAGACGGAAACAACTCTCTTCAGGGTGCTGTGCTGCTGGGGTGCACCATTTCCCAGTCATGATGTTTCCCTCAGGATATGTGTGTCAGGTGGAGCTGTCTGTGGGGCTGTCTGGACGAGGCCAACACAGGCAAACTTGGTGTTTGTGGCCACCAAAGGCTGAGAGGAGGCAGATTCGGGAGAGACTTACTAGACAGGAGTGGTGAAAACGTTCTGAAACTGGGCTGCAGTGATGGCTGTAGGCACTGAGAATATGCTAAAGCGATAGTGTAACACCTCTGAACACAGGGTTCCTGGTAGTTTGTGAAATGTGTCTCCACGATGCTCTTGGTTAGTGTCTTGCTGTGTCCCTCATCTCACATCATCATCATGGGTTCCACATGAGCAAAAGGACTGGAGACCGCAGGGATGGTATGTGGGCTCATGCCACACTAGGTCAATGGGGGAGGCCAGCATGCCAGCACGCCACAGGCTGGTGAGGTAGCGATATAGTAGTTAGGTCCCTGGCAGGCAAGAGTGGTGGGGTGTGGCTATAGATACATGGAAGGGATCAATGCAGGAAGCCACAGTCTCCAAGGAACAGCTCTGTCAGAAAAAGATGAAGCCATCTTCAGTGGTGAAGAAATCAGGTCAAGATAGGGTTCACCTAGAACCATGCTGGCAGGGGCCTTGAAAGGTACAGGTGAGGAAGAGAGAGGCTTCAGCCCAGAGGGAGGACCCGTGAGGCTCCAGCCACTAAGAGTGTCTTTGAATATTTTAGCTATGGCCAGTCTTCCATGCCCTTGAAAGGCCCCTGCTGCTCTAACCCTGTCTGCAGTGGATGCCTGAGGGCATAGACTCTGTGGAGGACATAGACTCTACATGAGCCTGCCCAGCTGCATCATAGCATTCAGTGCCCCTACATTTCTGTTCCACTGGGGCATCCGGGGTGTCCCATGATGGAAGCCTGAGTCAGTTGATACATGTGTGTCTTAGTGGGGTCAAGCTGCTTACCCACACTCTAAGGGGGCAGCCTTCTTATAGTGCTTGCCACAAGGAAAAGCAATTTGAAGGATAAGTTGCTGTGGTTGTTTAAATAAGAATGCCCCCCCCCCATAGGCTTATATTTGAATATTTGTTATCATTGGTGGAACTGTTTGGGAAGGGTTGAGGGGCATGGTCGTGTTGAAGGAGGAGCGTCACTGGGGGTGGCTTTGAACTTTCGAAAGCCCATGCCATTCCCAGCTATCTCCTCTACTTTCTACTTACTGAGAAGGTGTAAACTCTTGGCTACTGCTCCAGCGCCACACCTCCCTGCCCTCAGTCATGGACTCTAACCCTCCAGAACCATGAGCCTCAAGCTAAATTCTAAGTTGTTTTGGTCACGGTTTTCTATGGAAATAGACATGTTGCCAAGACAGTCGCCTTTTATCTTTCACTGTTTATTCCATCCCCACATTAAAATTATGATATTTCCTCTCAGTTCCTGGGTTCTTGCTCATATTAAATTTATATAACAGCCTCCAGACTTCCCTGTTTTTATGTTTTGTATGTTTGGGCAGGAGCAGATCTTGCCTTGTGTTTGTTCTCAACTTCTGCATTCTAGAATTTTTTTCATTAAGATCCGTGTAGCACCCAGAATTCTTCAATGCCCTTCATTTGAACTGATATATAGCTGGAATTTCTCTTTATTTTTTTCTCTGACCTTCATTTATGTTGGTGTTGCCTGAGCCCTATAACTTTGCTGTTTTAATTGATGTCATTTACTGTTATGACTTCCTTGCATTTGGCAGTTAAGCCATTTACAAACATCAGGATTAAATTTCTTTTTTGTCAACTCCTTCCTTTTTTACTTTTAATTTCCAAGGTCACGTTGTTTGTGTTTTCTAGGTAAGGATGCAGTGGTCTCTGGATTTAGCATCCTGTAGGAGCCATCACTCTTGTGTGCACAGGGCGTCTTCGCTCAAGAGTGGGCTATTGGTTTACTGGGTATTTTCTCAAGTGCCTGTGACTACCTTGGCAGTTTTGTCAGTCCATGGCTGTGTGTGGTCAGGTGCTCTTGCATGCTGAGACTCGGCCATTCCTGGATTCACCCTGCCTTTGTTAGAGACCATGCTTTCCTTCTGGCTGCGTTTGGTTTCATAAGTGGAGTTTCAGATCTGAGTTCTCAACAAAATCAGCTTGAGCTCTTTCCCTGTCACCGTGTTTGTCTGCCCAGGCCCCAAACCCCAACCTAGTTTGTCCCTGTTTCTGTGTTTGATGCCGCTGGCTGTGGAGCCTGCTCATGTGCTCTGCCTGTGTTCTTTCAGGCCAGTGGCCACCTTTTTATTTGTTTGTTTTTGCTTTTTGAAACAGGGGCTCACTATGTGGCCCTGGCTGGCCAGCAGGGAACTCACTTTTTAGACCAGGCTGGATTTGAACCCACTGAGATCTGCCTGCTTCTGCTGCCCAAGTATGGGTATTAAAGGCCTGGGCCACCACATCCAGCTGCCAGTGGCCATCTTAAATTGTGCTTTTCTCAGATTCTGGGAGTATGGGTTTTGGCAGCATAACCTCCTTCTCTCTTTACACTTTACCATCATGATTTTCTGTTCTCTGTTCTGGTCTGTTTTCTGTTCATCTGCCAGAAGATGGCTGGCACCAGCAGCTTTTGTTGGGGCCCCACGCCATCTTTGACTTCATCATCTGTGATTTCCCCTGTCCTCCCCTATTGCTTATCTTTCTGAGGCATGAACACAAAGATACAGAAAGTTGGGCAGGTACACATTGATTCTACGGTCCTTGATCTCCTGTGGACAGTCATTGCCTCTGGTTAGAAAGACCTACCATTAACCACCAAGTATGTAGGGAGTAAGATCCTGTAGTAATAGGAGCTCTGATTTCCTGGCAATCCTATTCTGTTTGGGGAGAAGCTACCTAATGGACCACTTTTTCACTAGCAGGATCCTCCGGCTGTTGTTGAATTTTGGGAAGTGTGGTACTTGCACATAGGGCAGATGGAGTGCCAAATGCCACACTCAGCATCCTACCTCAATGGCTTGGGAGGAGGAAAAGCTCTGATCTGGGATTCACACTGTACTTGCTTCTCACAATTAAAGCTGAACATTTATTTAACTCTTGAAGACTCTACTACCCTACTAGTCCTCCAATAATTGAGACAGGGACATAAAAATTTATTTAAATAAACCTGGGCAAGTATGACTTAAACTAGTTTTCTACGCGAGTATGGCTACCTCTCAGCTCTGCTCCCCATTACTGGCAATAAGGGTCCTGTCTGTGCTGGGTCCACTCTATCAGGCAATGTCTTCTCTTTCAATTTTTTTCCTTCTCTCTCCTTTCTTCTCCCTCTCCTCACTTCTCTCTCTTCTCTCCCGGCCTTATGGTCCCTACCTGAGACCCCCCCAGCCTGGGAACTGAAGCTCCACCTACTTTTCTTCTGACCAGTAATTGAATGTCAGCAACTTTATTAACCAATCAGAGCTATTTGGGGAGCAAAGTTTACACCATTATTTGGTATACTTGAGAATGTACTCCTCTGGACTACAAACAGATCTTGAGGGCCAGTAACTAGCATTTGTATACATAGTACCAGACCAACCCCCAACACACAGTGACCTCGCATCTGTTCCCAATAATTGCTCATGTTTGCTTTCTTCTTTACAAACAGGAAGCATAAAGTTTAGAGAGCAGACAATGAGCCCAGGAGCCAGAACACCAAGACATGAAGCCTGCTCGATTCTGTAACTTGAGCAATAGCTTCTGATTGTTTTGGTTTCCTCATATGTAAACCAGAGCAATCATTCATATCTAGTCACCATTTCTATCACCATTATCACACTACTGCCATTATCATAGTCATCATCATTATTCTCATGACAACCATCACCATCAACCACCATCTTCACTATCATGACCATCATCACCGCAGTCATCGCTCTCACAATCATCATCACCACCATCATCACCATCATATCACTATAACTGAAAAGCTTCTCACATCAAGAGACCCATCTAACTTTGGTCCAGGAAGATGGAAGCAGCACCGGCCATCCAGGCATCAGTCAATGGCCACTACAGCTTATTGGTGCCGGAGATTGTAGAGCAACAATTATGAGGAGTAAGAGGTCGTGTTGGAGGTGTCAGGGAAACCTTGAGGTGGAGCTTATTTCTGACATTAAGGTGGCTGAACTAATGGAAAAATAAGGTGATTGAATATGAGTATTCACCCCCAGTGCTCCCTGAGTTGTTTCTCAAGCGTCAATAAGGATTTGAAAGGCTATGAACTCACCAAGACAAAGAGCACCTGAACATCTGACAAGAATCATCAGGAGAACTAAAGAGGGGGGAGATGGACAGGAGGTGTGAGGCAGGCAGTGAGCTGGGCCAAATCCAGGGCCCCCCTGAAAGAGGGGAAACCTAGGTGCTTCTGAAGGGGCTGGAAAGGAGATTTGACTGTGGAGCTGTATCAGGTCATGTGACTCCCAGCCCCATCCCTTCTGCACTCCAGAAGGCAGGAAGCCAGCAACTCCAGGTCCAGCACAAAATGACACATGCAAACAGGTCGCTGGAGACTGGGACACCTGGGGGTTGTCTAGGCTGAAGCCACAAGGGAGTCAAAGGCTTCATGCTCCACTTTCTCACTCAGGAAACAGGGCTACCACCCTCTCAGTGAAGCCTCTGCCCAGACACTCAGGACCTTCAGCTGGTTTCAGCCTTGGTTCTTATATATATATATATATATATATATATATATATATATATATATATATATATAACAAAATTGGGGAAGGGAAAATCTCGACCATAATTATTACCATCTGAACAGGCATGTTGAGTAAATCCAATGATAAAACTATCGACAAAGGAGACAGAGAGGGCATAGGATGGTGCCCTTTGGTGACCGATGTCACTAACCTTCAGCTGCCCCCACCCCAGCGAGGGTATAGAACAGTCCACATTCCACACACTCATCCAGTGAGCTTCCGGTTGTATAGACTCCTCCCGGTAAAGTGAGGCCAGAGAACCCAGCAGGCACAGAGCCCACCGAGCCCTGGCTTCTCATATATGCTCAGATTCTAAGGATGGCAACTGTTGTCTTTAGCTACGGTTCATTCATATAGCTGTGTGAAACAGTTTGGCCATCATACTGCACTTATTACCTCTCACTAGTAGGCTATCTCCAGACTTTGGCTATTTTTTAATATTTCATTTTTAAATTTTACATGTGTTAGTGTTTTGTCTTCGTGTAACATATGTATACATGCATGTATATATACCATTTGCATGCAGTGTCCACTGAGGACAGAAGGGACATCAGAGCTTCTGGAAATGGAGTTACAGATGGCTGTGAGCTGCCATGTCGGTACTGGAACTGAACCCAGGTCCTCTGTAAGAGCAACTAATGCTCTTCAGAGCCATCAGCCTCAGACTTTCATGATTATTATTATTGGGTTTGTTTTTTTTTTAATACTGGAGCTGTAGAGATAGTTCTGCCAATAAAGTCTTAGAGGCATACAGACCTCAACTATTTAATAAAAAAAAAAATCTGAGTATGATGTCTTACTGTTATAATCCTAGCACTGGGAAAGCTGAAAAAGGGGGGTCCCCTTTCAACAAGTCTAGCCCACTGGAGGAATTTCAAGGCTAGTGAGACCTTGTCTTGAGAAACAAGGTAGTTGTATCCTGAGAAATGACACTGGAGGTTGACCTTTCGCCTCCACACACCTATACATGCATCAGTAATCTAGGGACATAGTCTAGTGGCTCTGCACTCACCTAAGATCCCATACCCCTGAATTTTTCCCAAACATAGAAAAATATCATATTACTACAATCAAACTTGATACATAGTCATAAGCTTCTCTGAGACATAGTTTATCCACAGAGTCCGCCTGCATCTTAACTTTTTGTGGAATTACTTTTCCAAATGGTAGTTTCAACGTGCACTCTCTATCATATAGATATATATCTATAAATGTACATATATACATTTGAATTAGTTAATTATTCTGGATATGAATTTATTATTCAAATTAGTATAGTAACTCTGGCTTCACAGACATGCTGAAGAGCAATCATATTATTTATAAAGAGGCTTTTAAAACTGTATAATAATCATAGCAAGGGTTGTGCAGCAAACAAACAAAGAATCCACAAGCATGTCAAAACACTGTACGTTGTCCAAAGAGCCTTCCAGCCATTTACCACATCCTGAGCTCCCTCCTGCCTGCGTATTCTGTTTTGTGATGCCAGATGACTAATGCATGTGCCCAGTGGGCTAAAGTTCATCCATGAGGTTGTCTAAACTCTGTATCTTCCCCCAGAATGTATAATAAAATGTGGCACCAGACCCAAGAAGCCCTCAATTCTCTGCTTGACAATGAGTCTCAGAAGATGACCGAACCCCAGGGAAATAAGGTCATAGTCTTTCAGATGTTAGCCACCTTCTACATAAAGTATGTGCAGATCTTCAGGAACATGGAGAATGTCTACGATCAGATAGTCCATCCACAGAAACGCTTGCTGATCCGCAAGATCCTGGATGCAGTGATGGGTCGAATTCTGGAACTGAAGAATGAGATGGTAGAGTTGGAAATGACAGAGTTCCATTATTTTGATGATATCTTACAGGACCTGAAGTTGGCTCCCGTAAGTGTTCTGTTATTGCTTTCCTTATTAGGTTTTTATTGTAAGTAAAGTGCATAGGGTTGTGTCCAGTTGTCTGCAGACTTCTTATCCAGGTTTAAATGTGACAACCTTGTAGAACTAAAAAGCCACATGGTTCTCTTCATTTAAACCTCATCATCATGACATAGGCTTTGGTTGCTTCCTTGTTTATGTAGACCAATCACTGCACTGCTCTTGGGTCTGTTTGACACTGAGGTCCTGTTACCACAAGGACGTCGCACTGTTGAGATGGTCGAGATGGAGTAGACTTACCCTCTCACAAATACCCCATAGCCCAAAATCTCCCATTTTCTCTGGGCTATGCCCCCAACTCTCTGGGTCCAAAAAGCCCTTCTGCCTTCTATTCTCCCACCATCATTTGGATGGTAGTTTTGGATGGCTTGGTCCTAGAGGTTTATAGCTATGGCCTTTGCTCCTTGAGTACCACAGAAGGAAGCACTCCTCCTTATTGCCCAGGGAGCCTCCCTCTGCCACCTGTCAGCTGAGACACCTCCTGTGGTCAGTCAGGCTGTGCCACTGAGCTTTTCCTTCCTTGCTGACAGACATTTGTTTTAGGAGTCTCTAACATCCTGGATAACTGGGCTCCCAAGGGCTACTAGACACTTCATTTCTTCCAGCTGTAGGCCCTATGAGCTCATCGTTGATTTTTAAAGGATGTTTCCCTCAAGTAAAGTTAAAAAGACAAAATGTCTTTTTACAGAGCTAAATGTCTCCTCACCTTGAAAATATTTTGACTTTGCTAAAGGTCATTTCTCATTCTGGGGGAGACTCTTTCGTATTGTTGTCTGATCACATCAGAATAGACTACAGAGAGTAACTGGAATGAGTCAGAACATTCCAGAAGTTGCATGTGCACTTCACACAGTTAGAAGAGCAATAGTTAAACCCCGGGATTCAATCAGGTGTGCTTAGCTCACCCGTGTGGGGTCAGAAAAGCCAGAACAGACTGCGCCAAATGTGAAATAGCTACTTATTGAATTATATTCCTAAATTTAATTAGTAAGGTGGCATGCAATATCTAAATCTAATTTCAAGGCTATTTAATGGTTACAGACCAAAGAGGTTTGGAGACTCACATCCTAGGATCCCTCCATTTTCCCTGCTATTCATTCTTCCCTGGACTTCAGCTGAGCACATTCCTCATGACTAGGAAACGCTGCTGCTGTGAGAAACCAGTTGTGCACAGCTGGGAGAGGGGTGCCAGGGGAACAGACATCACCCAGGAAATATACGTTGTAGGATGACTAAACAGTATTTTCCACCAGCCTTAGAACTGATGGACAAGCCATAGGATGCCTTTGACATGAAGGGACCATAACAGTGGCATGTGGGTTCTGTGAATGGTGTCCTGGCAGAGAAGCAAGTCTAGGGAATATCCCTGCATTTGGGGTGGAACATGCCAGCCAGCGTCCTCTGCACTTGGCCACTCTTAAAAAGTCCACACTCCTCACTGTTTTTCTGGCCAGCACCCAGCTGTTTGTATGGTAGGACTAAAGTCCCCATCACAAAGATCGGGACACTGGGGATGTTGTGCCAGGCAGACTCTCCCTGAGAGAATCTGAAGCCAGAAACTGATGGTGCTTGTCTCTGGTCTTAACTGACCTCCCAAGCTGGCAGTCCTTGAAGCCTTGGTCAGCTGGAAGCTCAAAAGAACAGAGGAAGTAGAACTAGAGCCAGAAAGAAAGCTAGAGAGGAAGAGCAAGCCATCTTCATCCCCACGCCTGCTTTTGGTCCTGTGAGTTCCTCAGAATGCTTCTGTATGTCACCACTTGGCCTTGAACTCAGATCTTCATGTTTGTACCACAAGCACTCTAACCCCCGAACCTTCTCTCTAGTTCCACCCCCAAGCAAGTCTCATCCTACCATAATTCCAGATGGATCTGAGTCCTGGGAGCCTAACAGAACGGTCTTCCATCTGTTCTCTCTTCCTCAGCAACAGCTGGACGTCCCCATACCCAGGTACTTTGTGAAGGAGAGGTTGGAAGTCATAAAAGAAAGAGAGAAGATCCTCTCTCAGATCTTAAGCGAATGTGGACTGAACCTTGCCGATTCGGTTTGTATCACTTAAACACATGTTTTTCACTGTCTGTATAACCTCATCTTCCATGCCCCAACTGTGTGAGAAACATTCACTCTGTTTTCAAGTTCAGAAAGGCGCCTCCTTTCCCAGCTTGCTGTGTGATGTCTGTAAGGGATAGCACAACTTTTGGGTGGTTGTTAGTGATTCATTATGATTACTTTACAAGAAACAAAGAACAAATGATAATGCTTTGTGGGTTACATCGGGTCCGGAAGAATGAGCAAGTGACCAGCTGGCTTTGCTTCTTCATCTCTAATTCACCTGGTAAAGTAAAACACTGAACCCACTAAGTTCAGAATTCACAAGCTCCAAACTTCCTGAGCATTCTCAGTTGTTCCCTAGCCTTTTATGAGTTCTGATTGCCTGGAAGAACGGACTCTCTCTTGGAAAAGAATGTCTTTGAGAAAGCTAGAAAAGCTTGGGAGATGGCTCAGTGAGTAAAGAGTTCGTTACATGAATGTGAGGAGCTGAGGTCAACCCTCCGGATCCCACGTAGAGCAAGAGTGGCAACAAATGTACCCCTACCCACGCAGGGACACACTGTCACTGTCATGTACCTCTACAGCTACTCTCTTGCTTTCAGGACAACAGTAGCCTCCCCCGATCCCCCTCAGGTCTCCATGGGGCCTCTCAGGACTCTGTACCCCTAAAAATGGCACACACCACTCCCCTAGCTTTTTTGCTACATATCCCACCGGAGACCTCACAGGCTGCAACATGAACCCTCATTTCATTATGTTTGGCTATTTGTGTGCATGTGTGTGTGTGTGAATGTTTGTGAGCATATGTGCGTGCGTGCGTGCATGTGTGTACGTAGTGTCTGTGTGCATGCACGTGATGTGTGTGCACTCGTATGTTGACTGGATTCCTCAGCCATTTTCGGCCTTACTTTTCGATTCAAGGTCTCCCACCACACCTGGAGCCTCACCAGCTGAGCTAGACTGGTCAGCCGCTGAGTTCCAGGGCTCCTCCTGGCTATGCTTTCAGTTCAGTGCACCCCACACTCACACTGTCACACCCAGCTTTTTAGCTGGGTGCTGGAAATCCAAACTCAGTACCTCAATCTCGAGAGTGACTGAGTCACCTCCGTAGCCTCCACCTTCTCACACATAGGAGTAACTAGTTCTGAATGGTTTAACATCAAAGCCATTGGTCAGTCTACAACTGGCTTCAGCCTTCTACTTGAATACACTAAAGTCTTCTTCTCAGAGGCAGGGTTTCCATTGCTATTTCTCCCATTAAGCAAATCTTGGAATTTCCAGCATTAATCGATACGTCTGGTTGACATTTCTGGTCACCTCCGGTCTAAGTCTCCGTGGAACTAAGCTGCTGCAGTGAAAATTAGCATTCTTTTGGAAAGGACAGTGGTCAGGTGTGACCTTGTTCATCGATTTTTCACACCCGGGAAGAGGAAACCTCAAATGAGAAATTAAATTGCCTCCATCAGATTGGTCTGTGGACATGCCTCTGAGGACTTTTTTTTCAAGAAGGTTCTTTGTTTGGTTTGTGAGAATTTTGTACACGAGCCCTGTGTTTACACCACACCCCACAGACTTCCTATGATGCCACCAGCCCATTCCAAATTTATGATCTCTTCTTTAATTACTATTGTTGCATGTATATACATATACATTATATTTACTATTTAACTATATGCAGTATATACAAAATAGTGTATATATATTATCGATAATGCTGTATATATTCTATATAATGCATTACACACACATGCACACACACATATATATACACACACATTCATACCTGCATATAAAACCCACTAAATTCTCTTAACATTGCTCATGTGTACATGTTTCCCAGGTTGACCACCCAGAATTGGTCATCTTATTTGGGAACTTGTTCCTGGAAGAAACCAGTTCTCTCTCTCTTAGAAGTATGGGGCATTTCCTAGTTTGCTAGCTGGTGAGGAGATCCCAGCCCACTGTGGTCGGTACCATCCCTGAGCAGATAGGCCTAGGCTGTATATAAAGACAGCTAAATGTAAGCCTGGGAACAAGCCAGTAAACAGCATGCCTTTGTGATGTTTTCTTCAAACTCCTGTCTTGAACTCCTCCCTTGGCCTCCCTTGATGATAAACTGTAACTTATAAAGTGAAAGAATAAAAGAAGCTTTCCTCTCCAGGTTGCTTTTAATCATGCTATTCATCACAGCAACAGAAAAGTAAATTAAGACACTGTCCTTAAGTCAGGGTGATGGCCCACAGTTGGCAGCAAGCACCTTTCCTTGCTGAGTCATCTCGTGGGTCCAATTCACATGTATAAATATTGATTTGTCTGATTTTTTTTTTTTTTTTTACCTTTTCTTTTTTTTCAGAAATATGCTGCAAAGTCCATACCAATGGAAGAGGCTATTAAACTGATCCAGGTCGCAGAGCGGGCGAGGCAGGGCCGCCTCAGGGCGCTGTTCATGAAGCAGATCTACCTTCAGGAGTGCAGAGCCAAGGAGATCAAGCTGCTAGGACGCAAAGCAGCAGACACCGGTGTGGCAGCCCTCCAGATTCAGAAAGTACGGACGTGAGCAGGGGAGGGAGGGGTCAGGCAACAAGCTCTAGCCTTGGGGCTGAGTGTGAAATTCAAAACCCAAAGCCCTACCTATAGGAGAGCTGGGTTGAGTTAGTAAACCCCACAAAGGTTTCTTGGCTTACCCTGGAAAAACATGGTCTTGTTTTTATTTTGTTTGTTGTAAGCTAGGAAGTTTAAGATGCAGAACACTGTGTTCAAAGACTTCCAAAAGGGCACCAGTAATTGTTGGAAAGAATGTTGCTGGGATATAGTGAGGCTGCAGATCCATAATGAGATGTTTTTAAAAACCCGCATCCATGCTGAGACAGTTGCAGAAAGGAAAGGCTAGGAGCCACTCTTGGGGACTTAAAGACAAACTCACCACTTAGCACATTCCAGCCACCATGCCTAAGGGCCAGAACCTCAGTATTCACTCTCGAGGGGCCCTTGGGGACCAATTTTTCATCTCAGTGTTACTAGTAATATACCCTGTCTTTTTCCTAATGGAGGGCAAGGCTGCTTGTGGGAAAATGAAGACTGCAGTCATGTAGCACAAATCAGAATTAAATTTGAAAGAAAATAAGGATAGGGACATACCTTGGAGCTTGAGGGGCAGGACGCTGTCTCAACTGTTCATGGGTAGACACGGAAGAAGGCAGTGGGAAGGACAGGCAGATTCCTTTCTTTCTTGCTGTCTCTGTGGCCTCATCGCCCTAAGCAAGCTGTTAGTTGTACTGTTAATTTTAGAAGTGCCTGAGCTATACTTCCCACAGTACTTTGGAGGTTTTGATTGTATAGCCATGAAGTACTGTCCTTGGATCTAGCCTCACTCTTCTGACTTCTAGAAGTTTCTCTTAAAGAATCTCGAGTAGGATTCAAAGACTGTCCTTCTTTAAACCACTGGCTGTGGGAGCTGCAGAGGTGGTTCAGTGGTTAAGAGCACTGACTCCTCTTCCACAGGACCTGGGTTCCGTTCTCAGCACCTGTAACTTCAGTCCCCAGGGATCTGATGCTTTCTTCTGGCCTCCGTGGCCGCTGACACCTATGTACTACACAGACATACACTAGGCAAAACACTCGTCCGTGTAACATCAGCAAGACCTTAAGAAAGCAGTGGGCTCCTCCAGCTTAGCGTTCGTGCCTAGTCTTATTGTACATTGTGTTTGGTTGATATCCCTGGAAAGCCTGCTCTTTCTAAAGGGGAATGAAGTAACAGTGGATCTAGGGAAGAGCAGAGTGGAGGAGGGGGAGGGAGCTAAGAGGAGTGGAGGGAGAGGAAGATGCAGTCAGGGTGTATTGTATGAGAAAAGAATAAATAAAAAGAAAAAAGAAACAAGAAAAGAACAAAAGAAAAAGAAAGCTGTTGCCTGTTATCCCAATATTTTAAAAAATGATCCCAGTGACACTCGAGTGTAGGCTTGAGTCGGCTGACACCGTGCTTGGTATGGGCAGCTTCTCCAGGACTTCTTACAGGAGTGACGATGCCTTTGCAGGTGTGGCGAGGTTTCATCCAAAACAGGAAGACGCTGAAGGCTCGGGAAGATGAGATGGTGTTTCTGGGCATGGTAAGTTCAGCTTTTAGAGAGCAGAGAGAGTGTGTCCTCTCCCGAGAGTTCCTAAAGAGTGAAAACAGAATAGGTGACTGAGAGAATGGAAGAGTGTGTGTCCTCTCCCGAGAGTTCCTGAAGAGTGAAAACAGACCAGGTGACTGAGAGAATGGAAGTGTCTGACTGCAAGGAAATCTGCAGGGGACCCGTGAGGTGGGGGCGTGCACCTTACATGACTCTGCAAGATGCAAAACGCACCTGATGGGAGACAGGCTGCAGAGGTGGAAATAGCCCACACCTGCGGGTGTCAGCAGAGCCCTTGGCTTCATGAGCATCTTGCTGGTGAGAATGGAATTGGTTGGTCCAGATGGTGTTGAAGGGCCCATTTCCACAGTGGTCAGCAAGGCACTGGATACAAGAGTGCACTTGTTATGTACCGCTGTGTGGCGGTGTCTGCACAAAACAGCAGCGTACATAGCCACCTGTGTTATGTCATGGGTCCTGTGGCTCAGGAATCTGAGCTAGAGCTGGCACAGCTCAGTTCCCTGCCTGGGTGTCACATGACTACTGTTGTACTAGTTGGGGATGGGTTCTCATCTGAGGCTCGGGTGGGGAAGGTTCTGCTTTTGAGGTCATGTGGCCAGAGGTAGCATCCCTCCTTCTGGACAGCCAGACCAACACCATCAGTCCTTTGCCAGATCTCAGCCGGAGATAGCCCAGCACTTGGAGTAATGGACCCTGCAATCTTCCATGTCGAAACTTGATTCCCCAGGGACAGCAAGGAAAAAGGGTCCCTTCCCCATTGCTCTGTTGTTAGTTAAAAGTAAGTAACAGGTTCCCAAAGAAGGGTGACAGCAGAATTTATGGACCGGAAGGCAGGGCACTAGAACCCCCATAGAGCAGCATTTCTCAACCTGTGGGTCACAATCCCTTTGCAGGTTGAACTACCCTTTCACAGGGCTCACCTAAGACCAACAGAAAACACAGATATTTACATTATGATTCATAACAGTAGCAAAATTCCAGTTAAGTAGCAACAAAATAATTTTATGACTGGAGTCACCACAACATGAGGAACTGCATTATAGGGACGAAGCATTGGGAAGGTTAAGAACTACTGCCTTAGAGTCTGCCCAAGGGGTCCTCAGCATTCTTTGTGCATGGAGTACAGGGCTCTGAGCAGAGCTCATGAGTCCTGAACACAGCCCATGCCTCCCCAGAGCAGCCCCCTCTTCCTCAGCCGAAACCCCTCTCCCCACGGTCCCAGTGAATCACTGGGCACCCCCCCCACCCCGCCGCGGAAGCTCAGGAGACCTCTCATGTCCCTTCAGACACATGACACCCCTTCAGAGCCCAGGAGGTCAACTCTGGTGTTAGCATCACCAGAGATGTGACCACTCCTGAAGGGGCCTCACTTGTTGGCCTCATGTCTGTTAATTTTTGTTTACACTAAGAGTAGCAGAATCCCACCAGGCTGTGCAGCAATGCTTCATTCAGGGGCACCAGGAGCCCGCTGCTTTGCTGGGGGCTCTTGGTACCCTCAGATTAAAAACCTGTAAACAGCAGTGCTGGCAGGGTAGGACTGGGTCTCCGAAGAGAACTAACTGCCTGAAGAGCGCTGGTGAGGCTAAGCAAGAAAAGAAGAAACAGGAATATAAATATACCATAAATAACCACAGACACTAACAGGCAAAACAACAACAACAAAAACCAACAGTATTAGACTGTGTCTTGAACCTGTGTGGTCATAAATTAGAAGACACTGAGCAGAGATGATTGTCTAGGGAAATATCAAAACTCAGAGAAGCCATAAGAAACCTCGTGGAGCCAATCGCAGTAGCAGAGGCTCAGCCGATTCTCCAGCTTCTCTGTTTGTTTAGTCAGGGCCCAGGAGAACTGGGCACCAAGGACAGTGACGTTTGCCCAACGCTGACCCTAGTCAGTGCAGTGGAGGTGGCTCAGGCGGTACTGTTACACAGTAGATAGTGACGGCCTGTGTGGCTGAGTACCCCTGCCCACAACACAGCAAGCCGGCCTGGCTGGACCTTGCTTCCTGGAGCATTTGGCCATGAAGGAGAGAACTATTTCCACACCCTGCTCCATTCATCAGTCTCAGAGGTTCAGCTAGAGTCAGACTCTGGATAAGACGTTTCTGTTTAAATGATTGATTTTCACTTGAGAGGCAGAGTGAATGACCAACAAGAAGTGGCCTTGGTCGTACACCATTTGTGTCGTAGTTGGGGAGGTGCAGACAACAGCGGGGTGTGAACCGAGGCCCTGCCCCACAGCGCTCAGCAAAGCGCCTTCTCGGCACACCCAAGGCTGCCCCTCCCCGCTCCGCTGGCCTGCGTACAAGGGTGAAGGGCTGCTGTTGTTGAATGTTCATGCAGAGAGGAACTGGGCCTTTTTTAAAAAACGTGATTTTGAAGTATGGTTGAAAAATAAATCATAAGCAGTTTCTAACTAGCGTCCCAAAAATTGACATGTGGAAAAAGGACAATAAACAGTGGGACGAAAACAGAGAAAGAAAAAAAAAACAGGAGAAACAAATTTTGTCTATGGACTTTGGGTGAAAAATATAAACTAAAACTTGAATGAGCCATAGATGGTACATAGATGGTTACATAGACGTGACAACTGAAACGTCACCTACTGGCAGTGGGCTGGGCTTCCCATATCAACCATCAACCTCGGCCATCCCTCACAGACACGGCCAAAGGCCGTGATGTGGGCAGTCCCTCTGTCTGTTGAGACTGCCGTAGTCCCAGTGCAGGGGGCAGAGAGAAAGGACCCCTGGAGGAAGCCCACTGCCTAAACCAGTCAAATCTGGTTCACGTCAGAGAGCCTGCCTCCATGTGTACGGTGAAGGGCAATCAGGGGAGACCTGTCAGCCTCTGGCCTCCACACGCGTGCACCACGCACGCACATGTACCCAAATGCACAGGTGTGCCTACATACCTACGAACACGCCCCCAACTCCCCACATACATATGCAAAAATAAGCTAGTTAGTAAACTAGTTACATCGTTTGATTTTACTTTAAAAATCAAATTAGCAACCTAAGATTCACGGCATGCATTTAAGAGCCAAGTGAAATTCCACAGTAGTCAAACTTGTGACTCAATAGCATCTATTTGAATAAACTTCTGTTTAACATAATTCAGCCTCCAATTGCTGGCATCCTCTGGTTGTTTTTTTGTTTTGTTTTGTTTTGTTTTTTTAAGTACAGAATACCAAGTAATTGCCTAAGATGGTTCCATTCACCCTTCAGTCTTGACTGCCTACCCTGGTCCCATTAAGAGATGGAGCATTCCTGTGTAACTCAGACTTTCTGCTTTCCTCTCTAATTTCTGTGTGCTGGGCTCAAAAGAGAACTTCTCCACAGTGCACTTTGCACAACATGAAGAGAACAGCTCCCCTGCTGTGTGTTCCGTGCGACTTTCTCTGCATGCTTTTTTGCCCAGTATGACGCCTCTTGATGTTACATGTTCTATTGAAATTTTAACCACTGAGAAATCCATGGATTCAATTTTTGAAAGAATGTTATCTGCATTTTGCTGGCTGATGACCATAAAAAAAAAATCCATTATCCCAAACCAACGGCATGTTTTCAATTGAATGTATTTTCTGCTCTGTCATTGATGAGGGTGTTGCCTCCTCATTTCAAATTTCAGTTTTCCATTTGTTCACCTCGGTCCATAATGTCAATGGAAAGGCCAGTGGTTTAGTCCTCCCAGCTGCGCTCCTGTCTTCATACATGCCCGCCACCCTTCCTGGAGTGGCAATCCAGTTCCTGAGTGCGAAATCAGAGCAAGGGCCATCGTCCTGCCTTCCACCCCAACCTAATGCTTCCCTTAATCATTGGCATATAAATTATTTTTTTGATATTGCCATTTTAAATATTTAGATTATAAAGTCTACAGAGGAAAATAAATAGTGGTCTAAAAATCATGTACGGCTATTTTAATTGGCAGAGCCAATGGCCTGGATCCAGTAAAAGGAAACTTAATGAACACAATCCATTCTCTTCTGTGGACCCCCTCAGAGCCATCCGTCCTGCAGTCAGGCCCTGCATATTTTACATTACCCAAGCCGTTTGCATTGTAATGAGGAACTCTGGGGTCACTTATTAAAGGGACAGTCCTATGGCTTCTACAAACATCATCAGAGTCCTGAAAGCACCATAAACCTGTTCACTTTAAGACTCTACCATCAAACAAGCTATTCTCCATAGCTTTGGGGCTTAATAAATTAGAATTTTATTCTTATTAACCCCGGCACAGGCTGGGCTACCCTGGGAGTGAGGCTCTTAGAGCCCCTGCTGTATCTTTTCCCATCAGAAGAGCTGTTTGTCCCCTCCGTGTCCCAGTAGGGGCAGTATACAGCCACAGGCGTTTCTCCCGCAATTGCTGGCCCCTCTGCGGCCTCTGGTTGGCAACATGTACCTTAGAGGCAGAAAGACTTGGTTCAAAGCCCAGCTCTGTATGTTGCCAGGAGCAGGCCCCCCGGGTCTCTCACACCCTCTCTGCTCTTTGATAGGCCAGCACAGTACTGCCTCTGTCATAGGGCAGCAAGCAGAACAATATAAGAGCTCAAAGGGAGAGGCTTTTTCTGGATTGTAAGGTGGAAAACACCTCCAAGGAACCTTGTTTATGTCATCGGGGGAAATGAGAAGATGTAATGACAGATGAGTGATCTTTACAAAGAACAAGTCCAGAAAGTTCATGTACAAAAACAAAAACAAAAAAGCTTCAAAATAAGCTCTTATATAAAACACTCATATCAGAGACCTCAAAATCCTGTATACCCAGGCCCTTCTTGTCTCACCTTACTAAATCTGTGCACTGAAAACTGGCCTGTCAAAGTTTGGTTTGGAAAAGTTCGTGAGGCTGAGTCTGGTTCAAGGCTTCCTCACCTAGCTGCAAAAGGGCCATCTGGAGATTCCCCAAGGCAGCAGGTAGGGACCACCGCACTGGCATCTTCTATCAGAGTAAAGCCTACAAAGTCAGCAGGCTGCC